AACAGTTGATAAATTCGTAAATTTATAATAACAAAAAGGGGGTTTTGGTTTTAGTAACGGGATCTTGCATAAAAAAAGTAATGTTTCGCGGTAAAAGTTAGGGTTTTGCGGTTTAAAGAAAGATTGCCAAAGTTAGGGTTCGGTGATCGCTTTTCATGCATATGTTCGATTAACAAGATTCATAAACTCCATTAGATGATAAATACATTCACAACATCCTCTCAATGTGATTATCTTTAACTCACATTGTGGGATTTGTCATTTTGATCCATTGTTGATCTCTCACACAATCTATCAAAATGACAACATTAAAGTTCAACATTTATGTGAGCAACTTCATTCATAACTATCTCTAGCTTACAAACAAATATGGATGAAAACCTAGGTTAAGAGTTGGAAAATATCTCTCGATCATAAACCAACACAAAGAGTTATCGATAAAGCAAAGTTTTCACCATACATTCATCATCAAAGAGTTTACAAATGAAGATCAATACATTTACATATAAAGCTTAATGATCACCTACATCTAATCTTGACAAAAGGAAGTATTTGGCTACTCATATTCATGGTAGCTTGCGGTAGAAGTATCGGGAGAAGGTTGATGAACATCCGAGTCGAAGAATCCAACTTGGATGAGAATCCACCTTCTTTTTGGTGGAATGATGTTAAGAGATGAAGAAATGAGAGCCAGAGAAGTTTTTAGGTCACAAAATCACTTTTTAGCAAAAGTAGTAAAAGTTGTGTCTTTTCAACAAAAAGTATACTAGCTATTTATAGACAAAGTTGATGGTCTGCCACGCTCGCGACCCTGCTTGCTAAGCGAGCTTCCAGCGAATGTTCGCTACAGCCTCGCTCAGCGAACATGCTAGCGAGGTCTGAGGCAATCATTCTGTTTGGCTTCGCTGCAACCTCGCTCAGTGAACATGCTAGCGAGTTCTTGAGGTATGATTCTGTTTGGCTTCGCTACTTGCTCGCTAGGTGCTCGCCTAGCGAGTGCTTAGCTACCCTCCTCGCTACCAGCGAAAAATGCCAATGTGCTTCTGCCCAAGTCTGGGAGTGTTCGCTAGCTTCTCGCTATGAGCTCGCTTAGCGAACACTCACTACTGCTTCGCTCAGCGAACATGTTGGCGAACTTGCTATTGCTTTCAACTTTCTTGGTTCCTTTGTCATCTTTCTTGTGCCTTCAAATCTTACTCTTTCATGCTCAAATACTGCACAATAACACACAAATTAAAAGAACCAAGAGTGTTTCACACTATGATGCATATTAACAAAAACAAGTCGGTTAGAGCACAAATTAGACAAAAACGGAGTGAAAGATGCCCAAATTTGATAGCTCAAATAAGCACAATTGGGCATCTAACATGGGTGCAGTTTGGGGCCACCCTAGGAATGAGGCGATGGCACAAGTTCGTCCAAGGGGAAGTATTGTCTGTCCCCTACGTTTTCCTTGCCTCTGTGGAGAAGAAACATGAGATAAGACGTATCCTGGATAATGGGGAAAAAGTCAAGATAGTTATTGACTCATGTATTCCTTGAAAATCGAAACTTAGAAGTCCATCCCTTTGACTGAACAGGCGACAACCTTTTCCAAGAAGGCCTTAAGAATCAAGAATCTATATAAATACTCCTCCCTCAAAGGGAGGAAAATCAAGTAATATTCACTAAATACCACCCAATACTGCTCAGAGAGCACTTCATTCCCAACAGTCCTAACACCAGTCATTTAGTTGTCCGCCTACAACCTAACAAGTTGACCGCCAACAAGGCCTTTCACTTCATGTGAGTTGGTCTCTTAAACAACCTCAAAAATCACCATACATGACTACTCTGCCACCGTGAGCTAACCTTCATCCGTTTTATGTAATACACCTATTAGGACATCTGAGTCTCCATGCTCTTGCAACGGAACACGCAGATCCATATACCTTTTTGAATAGTACATTATTTTGTTTTAATTAAAATAATATCATATTTGTTAATTGAATTTTTAAAAAAAAAATTATAACTAGGAAGAATCCATAGGCATTTTTGTGGTGGTATTTATTATAAAGGATCCTCCGATTGGAAGTAAGATGACAAATATAAATGTGAAAGTTGTTGGCAAATTATACACTTGAATGTTCCATCCCAAAAATAGGTTTTGGAAGGATATTTTCTTATAAATCCTATGTGTCTTATATTTATCTTTGTTAAGTTTGACATTATTCTAGAAGGAACTTTTTCCGGATAAATATTACTACAATGGTTTTCCGGATAAATATTACTACAATGGTTCTTTTAGAGAGTGCAATAATATTCATCGCCGTTGTATCATGATGAATGACACTTACTTTCTCATGTTATACAAACCATTCCTTCCTTCTATTTCTAGTTTTCTCTTTTCCTTCATCTACTAAAGAGAGGTGGTTTTAGGTCAATTTTTGATCTAAAATCACCCATCTAAATTTGTGTTTCTTTCCTTTTCATTCAAATAAGTGATTTCATATATATTTTTAAAAAAAAAAATTCTTGTGATTTCGTTGTTTTAGTGGATATTGTGTTTGTCGCCATCTTATTGCGGCTTTATTTTATTTTTCCGACTTGGTACGATATTTTGTTCGGTTCAGATTGACATATTAGTTTCGACTCAGTACATATTCAATTATTAAGTTTGACGTCATCAACACTGCAGACTCGGAGACATGGATATTCCAAACATTTTTATTTCATCATATTTATAGACTTTGTCACATTTATAAACATTTTCTGTTATATGCTATTAATGTAGCTGCTATAAGTTTGTAGGTGAATTTATCATTTTGAATTTATAATGATTTTGAATTTATATTAATCAATGTATTTTATTAATTGAATAAATGAATTTTTTTTTTATAAAAAAAAAACATTCTATAAAGAACTATATATATATTGTAAATTGAATCTATTAGCAATATAGTGGAAAAAATGTTAACAGAACTTATATAATCCGGATGTTTTCGGAGTATATCTAATAGCGAGAAAACTCTCGCATGACCCATATAAATAATTGAGCAAATATTTATTTATAAATATGAATTTGTAAATATATTCGACAACATAATAATCAAACAAATTACTTTTTAGAATAGTTTAACAAAACCTCATATCATAGATATATAATAATTTTTTCAATATAACAGTTTAAAAATGAAGTCACATTGAAAATTATTAATCAATTGATAATTATTAGCAGTAGGCCTGGAAATGAGTCGAGTCGAGTCGAACTCACCTCAGATCGGCTCGACTCGTTAAAAATTGTTCGAATTCGAGTTTGACACGAATTTTTTATAAGCTCAAACTCGACTTGTTATAAGTTTACGAACAGTTCAGTTCGACTCGTTAGGTTCATCTCATTAGGTTCAACTGACATGGTTCACGAACTTAAAACCTATTTTTTTAAATATATATATATATATATATATATATATATATATATATATATATATATATATATATATATATATATATATATATATATATATATATATATATATATATATATATATATATATATATATATATATATATATATATAGTATATTTGATATTTTAAATAAATATATATTTTTTAAATAAAATATTAAAATAAAATAAAAGTTATCATATTGAAATTTAACTTCATCTTCGAAATCTACTAATTTAAAACCTACACAACTTTCAAGAGATATATTTGAGAGTCTAATTCAAAAACTACTAAATTGAAGATTAAATTTGTCTAAGATTTGAATTAAATATTTAAACCTAATCTTAAAGACAATATAATTCTTTTCATATGTTATCGAGTTGATTCATGAACCTAACGAGTCGAACTATGTATAGTTCAAGTTCAGCTCATTTAGTTAACGAACTTAATTTTTCGCTCATACTCAACTCATTTGGTTCATGAACCTAGTTCAACGATTTAATTGTCGAGTCGAATTCCGAACTATCTTCAAATTAGTTTGGTTCATTGCCAGCTCTAATTAGCAGATACCGCATCAACTAAAACTTCCACAAATATGCTTTAAAAAAATAAAAAAATAAAATAAAAAATAAAAACCTTCAACAAATATTAATTCACATCAATTGTATTTAAAAGATTTATTCTTTGGCAATTAATTTGTCTTCAGCTCTGTCATCAACGAATATTTTAAGTGATGATAATAAGCATAATTATTAAGATGACACAACTGTTCTTTACCCACTCAATAATTCATGCATTGTGTTCTTGGTTTTTTATTTGTTCTTATAAACAATTTCTACGTACATAATTTGTAATCTAATTTAAATAGGATGCGATGGCTCATGTGTGACAGAAAGATTAAAGCCATCATGCATCGAAGCCTCGTCGAAAAAGTTAAGTCAACTTTTCGTTTTTAAATTTATCCCTAAAACTTGTTTCTTAAAAAAATAAATATGCTGTTAAGATATACATAAATTTATTGTACGTATACATATATATGTTGAACAATGAACACCACCACAAGAAACGACTAAATGTTAAAATTAGTTTATACATTTGGAAGCTATAAGGTCCAAAATGGAAGGTGAGACATAACATGTCTAAAGAAAAAAAAAAAAGGACAATCATTGTAAAATATAGTTTGGCTTGTAATTCTGTTACCGTTAAACTTTAAAAAATTATTTTAATTGTGTGAAATTGTTCAAAGACAATTTTTTAATATATAAGAACATTCCTAGCAAATTAATCAAACTTTTAAAGACAATTGGCATTATTACCCAAACAAGTGTATGATAAAATAATTAACAAGAACAAATTCGATTACCTCACACCACGTGTTAGTGTGCTGTATGGACTATCTCTATTATTTGCCATTTTATGTAACACAAACTTAGGACTATAAATAACAAGGCATTGTTTGATATGGAAACAACAAAGCAAATAAAATAGCTTCTTGTAAAAAGAAAGTGTCTTAGCTTTTTCATATAGTAATTGTGGCAAATTAATATTTAACATCTTTGCTAATTGCTTGAAAATGAGAAGCCAGAGTTACTTTATGGTTTTGATTATTTGTGTTGTAGCAATAATTGGATCAAGTGATGCTGAATTGAAGTTAGGTTACTATGGTAAAAGCTGCCCAAAAGCTGAAGAAATAGTTTTGAAGTATGTTCATCAACATATTCCTAATGCACCTTCATTAGCAGCTGCACTCATAAGACTTCATTTTCATGATTGCTTTGTTAGGGTATACAATTTTTCTTCTTTATGTTTATGCTTTAATTTTGTATATTCATATTTATATTTAGTTACTTTAAAACACATACACAACAAAAAAATATGACAGATAAAAGTTTAATACTGAACACACGCTTTCTTTCAAAAGGTCGACACTACAAAGTTAAGCTATAAAATATGCTTATTTTCTTATGATTTTAGGGGTGTGATGCGTCTGTGCTTGTGAACTCAACACAAACAAATCAAGCTGAAAAAGACGCTATTCCAAATCGTACGCTTCGAGGATTTGATTTCATCAACACTATAAAGAGTCTTATTGAAGCTGAATGTCCTGGCGTTGTTTCTTGTGCTGATATATTGAGTTTGAGTGCTAGAGACTCAGTTCATGCCATTGTAAGTATTATTTTTTTCACTCGTGTTATAACAATTCATGACTACTTTCTAGTGAAGAATATATTTGATATGAATTTGCAGGGTGGACCTTATTGGAATGTTCCAATGGGTCGAAGGGACGGAACCATCTCTAAATCAGCTGATGTTTTTATCACCCTTCCTGCTCCATTTAACAACCTCACCACCCTCCTAACACTATTTGGCAATGTTGGACTTGATGCTAATGACTTGGTTTTGCTCTCTGGTATGCCAATCATTTCGTGTTTCTCACAATAAAGCATTGACACAGACATACAAACATGCTTTTTCAAGTGTTAAATTGTTCATTGATCTAACCTAGTTATTAAATCAAAAATTCTTCCAGGTGCTCATACAATCGGTGTTTCTCATTGCTCATCAGTGTCAAACCGACTATATAATTTTACTGGCAAAGGTGATCAAGACCCAGATCTAGACAACAAATACGCTACGAGTTTGAAAAAATTTAAGTGTAAGAATATCAATGATCAAACCTCAATTATTGAAATGGACCCCGGAAGTCGCAATACATTTGATCTTGGCTATTTCAAACAAGTAGTTAAGAGAAGAGGTTTGTTTGAATCAGATGTTGCATTGCTTAAAAGTTCTACAACAAGATCAGTTGTTGCACAACATCTTCAATCAAATGAAAAATTCTTTACTGAATTTGCTAAATCTGTGGAGAAAATGGGTCGGATAAATGTTAAGATTGGGACTGAAGGTGAGATCAGAAAACATTGTGCATTTGTAAATTAATAACTAAGTATATTTCTGTATTTGTCATTTGCTTTAGGCATCTTGTTATTTATTTCATGTCAATGTTGTGATGACTTGATATTGGAGGTACCTTATGACTTGGTTGTTCTAAAATAATATGGGAATAGTTGATTACATGATTCCAAAGTTTGATAAGAAATAGTATTATTATTTTTTTTCCAACATTTTGCTTAAAATATAGGTTTGTTTTATATATGAAAGTACAATTATAAGTCGGGCAACTGTTTTATATATGAAAGTACAATTATAAGTTGGGCATTATTACCATCTATAAATTCTGGTACTTGACAATCCAAATTTTAACCTACATTGTGTGCGCGCGCGCTATAAATTCTGGTACTTGACAATCTATAAATTATGTTTTATATATGAAAGTACAATTATAAGTTGGACATTATTACCATCTATAAATTCTGGTACTTGACAATCCAAATTTTAACCTACATTGTGTGTGCTGCGCTATAATTTTTGGTACTTGACAATCCAAATCTTAACACACACGCACGCACACACACACACACACACACACACACACAGAAGTTATGATTGCATTAACTAAAAATGAGTGTGTATCCTTAACACTTAAACCTGACACTGAATTAAATTGGAATTAAATCAACTTCAGTGGTAACCGGTTATATCTGCGAAAATTCCATATTTGTGCTATTTAATCGAACCTCAAGCCGTGTTATAACTAGTTACCTACCCATGGTAACCGGTTACACCACTTGAATTATATGAAAAACATCAATGCACCATACTAACTAAAGTGCTGCAAGTCTACCATGCTCATGCTCATCTTCAACTTCTTGATCACATCATTTGTGACTCCCTTAGTCAACAAATCAGCAACTCGATCCTCACTTTAGCAGTGTCCCAATCATAACCTTCCTTCACTAACAAGTTCCCTAATATAGTGAAACCTCATCTCAATGTGCTTGCTCCTCCCATGTGAAATTGGTTTTATTAGCAAGATTAATCGCGGAAACATTGTCAACTAAGAGTGTGGCAGCCTCACCCTCACTGCTGCATAACTCCTCTAATAGATTTATAAGCCACACAAGTTGGCACACACATAACGAAGCGGAAATATACTCGTCCTCGCATGACGAGAGTGCAACTACTGGTTCCTTCTTCGAACTTCATGAGATAGGTGTCATATCGAACATAAAGATGTATTAATTGTGGGAAAGAGAATTCTGCAGCCAACATAATCTTTGACATAGCACAGGACCTCTTGACTACTGTCAAGTGAGACACTTTCGGTCTCCCCATGAATCTACTCACAATACCGACACTAAACGCTAAGTATGGTCGCTTATTGCACAAGTAACACAAGGATCCAATCAACCTCCTATATTGATTTGGATCAACATCTTGCTCATCCTCATTCTTAGACAACTGCAACCTTGGTTCATCTGGAGAAATGGAAGCATTGCTATACTCCATTTCAAACTCTTTCAATATCTTAATAGCATGTCTTCTTTGGTGCATGAGCCTTTTGGACTTGTGGAACTCAATACCAAGGAAGTATGCCATAAGACCAAGGTTGGTCATCTCAAACTCTTCCATAAGTTTACTCTTGAACTTTGAAATGCACTTTCAGTTGTTGTTGTCGCGGTGAGAATTGGATATCAAGCTATTTGTTAACTTGCATCGCAAATCATTATTCACCACCGGTCTTTAATTTGTCCAAGGGAAGGGAAAAAAGTATAAATAACCCATGAGTATGCCATACAATTCAAAACTTGAGAATCTAAGGTTCGAGGGTTGGTTAAACTTATGGAAGGTATTTGCATCCTAAGCAACTGTAGTAATTGATAACACGAAATCGTATATATATTTTGATGCATAATTCAACTAAAGCTTAACTGTTTTCGATCCGATTTCGGGTTATTTCTGTGTTATTTGTCTGATGTTTTGCAGGTATTTAACGATCACGTCTAAACAAGGCAATATGAAGAAAAGAAGCAATCTCAGATGAAATATGGACGAAAAAAGAGTGAAAACATCATGGAAAGCGCAGAATGCTGATTTTGCTGTTGTGACGACCGTCACAGCTCCATGACGACCGTCACACAGGTGACGACCGTCACACCTTGTGACGACCGTCATGCAGGCAAAAACGCCCCACTTCAATTGCACGTTAATGAAGCAGTTCCAAGTCCCAAATAGTGGACCACTACTCCCTGATTTTTCTGCCTCAAAGTCCACTATCTCCAATTATAACCGTTAGAATTCCATTTCTATAAAAGGGGAAGAAGGGGACCTCAAAAAGGGAGCCGCATTCATACAACGAAGTGCTGCCAAATTTATTTCCAGAGCAACCTTTCCAGTTTTAATATTCTTATTTATTTCTCTTTGCTTTTTCTGCATTCCTTTCATTCTTCTGTAATTTCTATTTCCGTTGTACGATCAAATTGGCATAAAAACCAGAATCCTGCCAACATCTGTGGAGGATCTGCCCAAAGGCCAATTGGAATATTTACAGGTTTCTCATTTCAATCGTAATTCCAGTTTTATTATAATGCATATTATTAATTATTGTTTTTATTTATGTTTTATCTTTCCCAAATCCATGTCTAGCTAAATTTAAGTAATCGATATGTAGTAATAATTCGAAAGAGATTTGATAACAACTGGTGGAAAATTGTCTTTTCAAAAGTAATTTATGGTCTGAGTGTTTAAAATTAATTTACTGAATAAACTTCGTCGCGAAAGCGAGAACTTATTTAAAAGTAGTTTTGCCACGAAAGTGGGAAATTAATTAAGATACGAACCAACAAGCGAAAGCTGCGGTAAGATCAGATAGTAAACACGAGTCATTCATTTTAATAACAGCGAAAGCACTTTAAAATGAATTAAAACTTAGAGATTTCCAAAAAATAATTTTAACCCCGAATGGGATACGAAAGTGTACGTTTGGCCCTTAGAATTATGATTAGCGTCAATAACCATCGTGAGGCGAGAGTCTTTAAATCACCATTTTCTGCTTAAATAAACTCTGAAAATTATTTCATACACCGGTAACTTGTCAAATCCCTGAAGAACACAATTACTGCATATCGATTCAATCAATTATAATCTAAGTAGCATTCTTAGTTCCCTTTTAGTGACAATCTTATTCCCTTAAACATATTCTACCTAGCTAAACATAGTAACTCCCGAGAACACTAGTTTGATTACGAGTCCCTGTGGGATCGATATCTATTATTACTACGCGATAGACTGTGCACTTGCAGTTAGGTTGTATTAGACATAGAAAGTCGCGATCAAGTTTTTGGCGCCGTTGCCGGGGACCCGTTTAGTCAATAGTGTAACCTTCTGTTACGCCGTATAGACTAGGTTAACAATTTTCATTTTTCCTTTACTAGTGTTGTCGATTGTATGCCAAGTAATCGCCCACAAGGCGATATCTTGAAACCTTCAGTCGCAGAACTAGAACGCTTCTTACATCTAAGAAGCCGAATCATTGAGTACCAACTCAAACATAACATTCCCGATCCTCTCACTCCCATTCCCAAATTCGAAGAAGAACCAAACATGGCTGAAGGACCTCCAAACAAACCGCTGAAGGCATACGCTACACCCTCTCAGATGGAGCCTAGAAGTAGCATTGCTGCCCCAGCTATTACCCGAAAAGATTTTGAGCTGAAACCTTCATTGCTGTCAGCTGTACAACAAAACCAATTCTCAGGAAACGCAACTGAGGATCCGAACGAACATCTAACGAAGTTTGTACAATACGCAGACACGGTGAAAGCAAATGGAGTAACTCCAGACACGATAAGACTTCGTCTTTTCCCATTCTCTCTTAGATACAGAGCGTGGACATGGTTACAATCTTTACCATCCAACTCCGTTACGACGTGGGAACAATTGAAGAATGTCTTCTTAGCGAGATATTTTCCGCCAAGCAAAACTGCTATGCTTAGAGCTCAAATCAACGGATTTCGACAAAAAGATACTGAATCTCTTTACGAAGCATGGGAACGATTCAAAGATATGATGAGAACATGTCCTCACCACAGTCTAGAAGACTGGGTAACAATCCATACTTTCTATAATGGGCTTTTATACAATACTAGATTGACAATAGACGCTGCCGCGAGCGGTGCACTTATGGATAAGCCATACGACGAAGCCTATCAATTAATCGAAAACATGTCTCAAAACCATTGCCAATGGGGAGGTGAACGCACTCCAACAGAGAAAACCACAACGAAAGGTGGGATGCACAAGATCAGCAGCCTTGAAAAGTTCAACGCTAAAGTAGATGCTCTAGCACAGAAGATTGATAGTCTGACCGTTAACCCCACTGCAACCGTCGCTGTCGTAACTCCAAATTGCGAGTTATGCGGAAGCACCACTCATAATGCGCCCGAATGCCCATTGCTAGCCGGAATCCCACCAGACCAGGTAAATTATGCTCAAGGAAATCCTTACGCAAATACCTATAATCCAGGTTGGCGAAATCATCCAAACTTTTCTTACAAAAGCGAAAATGCATTGTAAATGCCTACTGCTCCGCCAGGATATCAGAAACCAGCTGCTGCTCAGACTGCACCTAGGAAATCAAACCTCAAATTGATGATGGAAAAATTCATAGCTACTCAAGCACAAACAAACAAAGAATTCCTGAATCAAAACATACACACTAGCGAGCAAATCAAACAGTTGACAGGAAAAGTAGACGCTTTAGCCACCCACAACAAAATGCTAGAAACACAGATATCACAAGTGGCTCAATAACAAGCCTCTGCTGCCGCACCCGCTGGCACATTTCCTAGACAACCCGAACAGAATCCAAAAGGCCAAGCAAATGCTGTAATACTAAGAAGCGGAAAAGAATTGGACGAACTGATCGATCCAAGGACCGAAAACTCAGCCATGCAACAAAAACCAACTGAACAAGCAGAAAAGGAATCCGAGTTAGAGAAGAAGGAAGACAACGAGAAGGAGGATACCGCAAGTGAAAA